GCTCGATCGCGGTGCGCGATACCGCCGGATAACCGGCCGAAGAGCGATTACGGGGTAGGCAGGTATGTTTCGGTAATTGCGCGGCTAAGTTTAGGCGGTGCAGTTGGCGTCAATGCGCGGATGCATATTCAGAACGGAGCTCCTCATATTATGCTCACTTACTAAACCGCCGCGTCGCGCGTGGATGTGAATGTGAATGGAACTTGCTGGCACCCCGCCTGTGTGTTTATATTTAGCCACTGTGGGCGGTATAGCTGTCACGGATACGTATCATCGGCATAACTGAACTGTGCAAATGAATAATGAAGTTCCATCGCCTCTCCCTCCCCCTCCCCTCCCGCCCCTCCCTCCTCCCCCCTCTCTCTCTGTCTCTCTCTCTCTCTCTCTCTCTCTCTCTCGCTCTCTCTCTCGCTCTCTCTCGCTCGCCCTCTCGGCCGCTTTTGCCCGCCGGGATCGTTTATAGCGGCGCGGCTCCAAGACGTTACCAGAATTGGCGTTACCCGGTCGTCTCTCATTGTCTTCGCGGCGGCGGTTGCTCGCGCCGCTCAGGAACGAACGCGACATGTGGTCTCAATGAACGCGCATACACGTACACTTGTGCGCGCGCGAGCGCATGCGGGGGCATAAACGCGCGCACAGTTCGGCAGCCTTTGAGGGGCTCGCCGTCGTGCCGGCGCGTCGTAAAAGATTGTAACGACAGCGAATACAGAATGGGGAATACGGTCATACGATACCCTTAATCCCTTAATCTCGTAATGACTACTGTCCTGTCCCCGTGTGCGACGTTGAAACAACATTCATATACACATACGTGTGTTTCCCTCATCGCGTGTGCGTGTGTTCGCACACAAATCCCAGTTTCTCCTGGGATGTCATAATTTCGAATCGGAAAATAATCGGCAATCGAGCTCGCGCTGCTCATTTCCGGCGATTGAGTCGCCAAGGATACGCTCGAGATACGCTCGAGAGAGAGAGACAGATCGGCGAGGATAAACAAATGCGCGAAACGTGACGCATTCTCCGTCGCGTTTTTCCTCCGTCGACCGCGCGATTAATTCCTTCGGAGGCGCGCGTTCTCACGCAGCATCCGCTCGGATGCGGGTTGTTCTCGTGTCGGACGCGCCACGAGAACGGATACACCGTGGACCCTCTCTCGGAGGATTACGGAGCGGAAAATCGGGAGAGTCACCTTTCCGATCAGCAGCTCGTCGCTCGAGAGCGCCGAGCGATCTCGCTCGGCCGGCACGCGCGCCGCCGTGATTCACGTGCGCGGCGTATATATAATCGCCAATCGGTTTCTTGCGATTCGTCGCGCACACATTGTAATCATTTCGCGCGTCAGAGCGCGGACACCGATATGTTTGCCGTCAACGCAGTCCGCGGACATTTTTAATTACTCGCGGAGGTCAATAAGAAGTAAGTGGCTAATCGACTGGGGAGAACGCGCTTATCGGCCGCGCTTGTGTAACGCAGTGCGCGCAGTGTTTTGCGCGGATCAGCTTGTGTCGCGACCCAGGCGCCGCGATACAAGCTGATCCCGCCGTCATTTTCATTACGACCGCGCCGCATTAACAATTTAAGCCAGCAGCGCGCCGGGCCTCGGCGCGATTTAAGCCTCGGCGATCAAGTCGCGGGAGCCGTGTCGTCGATCGCAAATCATTTTTCGTGATCCGCCGGATCGAGGGATTGATCCGGCCGGGGATGAATAATCGGCCGCGGGAAGGGCGTCCAAGCAAAATGCGCCTCGCTCGCTCGCTCGCTCGCTCGCTCGCTCGCTCGCGCGTGTGTGTGACGTTTCAGCTGGTGCGCAGGCTGGATGAATAAACGTCTTCCTTATCGTCTAAAATAAACCCCGCGCGTATCTGGATCGCAGCCAGGACGTAGGAAAGTACAATGATATTCGCCGCGTAAATTGTTGCGTTCCTGCGGAGGGACACTCGTCTCTCCCGCCGCTATGCTCCCTCCGCTCCCTTCCCTCCTCGCTCCTCCTTCAGAATTCACGGCGAGCGCGCGCGGTAAAATTTGTCGAAAAAGCCACCGGGCCGATGCACTTGGCCGCGATCGTCCCGATGTTAAGTCGGACACGCAATTAACGTCAACGACGGATTTACCGGAATGGGCGGTTTGCGCGCTCTCTCTCTCTCTCTCTCTCTCTCTCTCTCTCTCTCTCTCTCTCTCTCTCTCTCTCTCTCTCTCTCTCTCTCTCTCTCTCTCTCTCTCTTGCGGAAAATTATTCGAATTTATACATCCGAGCTTGACGTTTTTAACGAACGTTGAGTAACATTATCATTGAGGAAGAAAGAAACATTTGCTCGCGCGAGGAAACGGATCGCGTTCAGCTGTTAACAAATAATTCGTCCCCGCGATGTTAAGAACCTGTCGATTTTCTCGCGATTCGACATTTGGGCATTTTTGAGCGACTTTGAGTCACTCGCATATCTCGGATTATCGAAACATCAAAATACCCGGCGAATGCGACGACGAATGCGAATGCGCGGAACTTTTCCCTTCTTGGGCCTTGAAATCTGCACTCGTCGCGTTTCCCGCGGAATAATTCCCGGCTCGGAATCGGAAGCGTGAAGAAGAGACTCGTCGACCCAGCCGAAATAACCGTCTCGGACCCGTTGACACTGGTTAATATCGTAAAAGCGCCGGATGCCATTCGCACCTTGCAGCGTCGGGCTGGCGACAATTCCAACGCAACGCAGAAGAACGCGCATTCCTTTCGTTTGGTCGACGACGCGAATGAAAAATAGAGGAAGCGGTACGCGCGGCACAAAGAGCCGCCGTTGCAATCGCGTTATTCGCCCCGAACTCTCGCATCGAAGTGTCGGGCCGAGGAGCAAATAATATCCCCCGCGAAAACGTTTACGATGAACGTCGCCTTTGTGCCTAACATCCCAAGCAAGGTATAAAACAACGAGACACTGGCCTCGCCTAGAATAGCTCTCGGATGCATCGAGCTGTCGAGCGCCGGTAACGGTTTCCGCCGGTCCATCTCATTGTAATGTCACGCGCATGAAACGTCGAAAAAGAAAACGTCGCGGCAACTGCTCGATCACGAGGAACGCACACAGGACGTGAGACACCACACGAGACGCGCAACGAGCCTCCTGAAACGACCCGAATCGAAATTTTGGACCTGCTTTCGACTTCACTACGCCGCTCACTGACGCTGATTTAATACTTTGAAACGTGCATCTTAATCTATGCCGATTATGTTTAAACTACACCTTCGCTGAAAAGTCTTCTCAAGTATCCAAGTTGCAAAACCCGAATAAGTGGTAAATTGCACTTTCTCTGTCATTTAAAGGCGTCGAGTATAAGGCTTGAGTTTCTACGTTCTAAACAAATAAAATCGTTATTCCGTTAGTGGAAATTTCGATCCCACTTTGGACCTCAATATCTCGTTTAAGGCTAACTCGATATTTTGAAACTTACATCAACCTCTATGTTGATTGTATTTAAACTACAGCTTCACCGAGAGGTCTTCTTAAGAATTTACGAGTGGCAAATTACACTTTCTCTGCCATTTAGAGGCGTCGAGTAGGAGATTTCATTTTTTATACGAATGAAATCTTCATTTGAGTCGAAATTTCGATCTCACTTCGGACCTCGATATTTTATTTAAGGCTAGTTCGATAATCTGAAACTTACCTATGTTAATTATATTCAAATTATAGCTTCACCGAGAAGTTTTAAGAACTTACGAGTGGCAGACTACACTTTCTCTGCCATTTAGAGACGTCGAGTAGGAGATTTCATTTTTTATACAAACGAAATCTCCATTCGAGTCGAAATTTCGATCCCACTTTGGACTTCAATATTTTATTTAAGGCTAGCTCGATACTCTGAAATTTACACCAACTTACATCGATTGTACTTAAACTGCAGCTTCTCTGAGAGGTCTTCTTAAGAGCTTACAAGTGGCAAATTGCACTTTCTCTGCCATTTAGAGGCGTCGAGTAGGAGATTTCATTTTTTATACGAATGGAATCTTCATTCGAGTCGAAATTTCAATCCCACTTTGAGCATCGATATTTTATTTAAGGCTAGTTCGATACTCTGAAACTTACCTATGTTAATTGTATTCAAACTACAGCTTCGTCGAGAGGTCTTTTTAAAAACTTACAAATGACAAATTACATTTTCTCCGCCATTTAGAGACGTCGAGTAGAAGATTTCATTTTTTATACAAATTTTTTATTAAAATCTCCATTCCGAGTCAAAATTTCAATTTCACTTTGGACTTCAATATTTTATTTGAGACTATTGAGTTCGATATTCTGAAATTTATATCAACTTATGTCACTTGTACTTAAATTACAGCTACGCTGAAAAATCTTAATAACTTACAAGTGGCAAATTGCACTTTCTCCGCCATTTAGAGATATCGAGTGCAAGACTCGAATTTCTGTATAAATAAAATCACCATGCCGAGTCGAAATTTCAATCTCACTTTTTGGACCTCAATATTCCATTTAACTCCAATTCAACATTCTAAAACCCACATCAATTTATTTCGATTGCATTTAATTTTTGGATTCTATCATACATATAGTTTTTACCAAGAGATGCCCTCTTAAAAAATCTAGTCAATCAAGTCGCGCGTTTCTCGCTATTTAGGAACGCCGCGTGTATAAAATTCCAGTTTCTATACAAATTTCCATTGATCCTCCAGAATCCACAAATGTCAGTTTAGGTCGAAAGTAGAATTTAAATCTCGACTCGGCCCGGGAGGGGGAGGCCTTTACGAGGCCCGTCGAGTCCCACAGAGCGGCATAACGCGGCGGTCGCGCACATCCCACAATTCGCCACGCTCTCGCATTGTTGTCCTCCGAGTCGGCGCGATCCGATCGCGCTTAAAGCGACGAGAGACCCGTGGATCTTCGACCACTCGTCTGCCTCGGCACGGTAGCCTCTCTCGGTGGCTCTCTCTCTCTCTCTCTCTCTCTTTCTACGGAGCGTCCCTTTAATTAGTGGTCCGTGTGCCTTTACAGTCGTATCCCGCTCACATGACGGTCGACTCGCAGAAGCAAATCGAGATGCAGCGGCTGCAAACGGAACACTTGAAGCGGCAGCAAGAGCACATCATGCAGCACAACATCCAGGAACTGCAGGCTCAGATGACAAAGAGTCAGCTGAGCATGTCGGGGCCGCAGTCGTTGATGTTCCTGCCGTTTCTCGAGCAGCTCAGAGGACTGCCCGTGCAGTCACCCATGCCCCCGCCGCCGGCCACGTCGACCGCCACCACCGGCAACAAGCACATCAACTCCATCGCCAACGTACGTGAGAGACGAGCCGCGGTGTCGCGATTACCCGCCTCGCGATTGGATCCCCTCATGTAATGCCCGGTCAATGCTCCGCGATAGCATCGCTCGCCACGTTATCGCTGATCTTCGACGAGAGAGCGGTCTCTGCTCTCTCTCGTCCCGGCTCCGGTTAGACACCCGTACTCGGAAAATCGGCTGAGAGCTGTCCGACGAGCTGCTTAGCGCCGGTCCTCTGTTTGGTCCGTACGGAAGTTTCGATCGATGACTGAATTGCTCAGGATGAAACATGATTCGGTGATTAAATGCGACTCGAGATGCCGTGCGTCTTGCATTTCGTTATATCGGCTCCCTGTTGGCCGTGCACGGGAAGAGAAGGTCCTCTCACTTGGTGTAACTGAATAGTGACAGGAAGTGGTATCTTTGTTACCGCGACCGGAAACGTTCGTCTGACGTTCAGCTGAACATTCAGCTGTTTTAAGCCTCGGTTGAGGCGACTGGAAAGCTCCTGGAACAGGAAATTTTCTGTCCCCGCGATCGCGTGTGTTCCGTGTTTGGCTTCCACTCTCCGCAGGCAGCGCAAGATTCAGTTACACCGAGACCGAATTGTTTCCTCGGAGAATCGACTTCTCGCGGTACATTTAATTTCTTCGCGCACTTCATCGACGAGACGCGTGGGAGGAAATTCGAGCGCGTGGCCCTTCGACGAAGAATACCAAGCGCGCGGCTGCGACGTCGAACTCGCGAGACCTCGTCCGCGCGAATCGATCGGCTGTTCTAACAGGGATTCTCTTGCTCGTTCGCAGATGATCAGCAGTCATCGGGAAGGCCCGAGTTGGGCGACCGCGCACCTCGCGCAGATAACCACGCAGATGGAGAAGGAGTCGTCACCGGCGCCGATCTCATCCGCCGTAGCGCCGACGGCCCCGCCTCTTCAGGATCTCGACGCTCCGTTGAACCTCACGAAACCGAAGTCCTCGTCCTCGGGCGCCACGGCGTCCTCGTCGCCCGGCAGCGACTCGCACTCGACCGGCGCCGGGAGCAGCGGCCAGCAGGAGCAGCCGTTGGCGGCGACAGCTCCCAAACTTTTCCCACCGGGGCTGCCGATACCACGGAATTACCTGCCGACGCTCCCTTACGCCGGCCTACCGCCGCATCTCAGCACCCTGTCGTCGCCGAGTGAGTGAAATTATTCCTGAACGCGCGACAGGGAAGAAGGTCTCGGGGCGTGGGACCAGACGAGAATTCGATGACGGCGGATTCGTTCGTTGTCGACTTGCGTTGCGATCGGTCGGAAAAGATCTTCTTGCACGATAATACGCTCGCATCCTTCGATGAAATCGACCACCACAGCGCGGTTCACACCGCGGAGAAGCGTTGTCCTACTCCCGTAGAGCGAACGCGACAGAGATCAGAATCACGAGAATCGTAAACGGGGATAAAATTTCCCGAAAGGTCATGACACCGAGAACAATTCCAACATTTTCTCAAAATATGTACAATTGTTCTTCCATAATATTTTTACTTATTCGAATACGCTCTTGCTATATTTGGACTAATAAGACGGATACTAACATGCCCGGCTGTGTATATTTCAATATTTCGGCAAAATTGTGTCTCGAGAGATTATCTTGGTATTTGGATGTCGCGACTTTATAAGAAATTATGCCGATTCTAAAACGTGTTTTCTTCAGTTTTCTGCTCGGCGATGTCAGCAAAATTCGCTCAGCCATGAAGAACTCGGCTGAGCTAACTGAAGGTAAAATTGACCAGTTGGGAAATCTCCGGGCGACAGCTCTTCCCGTTTCTGCAGCCGAGTTTTCTACTTGATTTTTATTTTCCACACGTTGCGTAACATTCAGTTACACTAACCAAATTGTTTGTTCCGAGTGATTCATGCGCGATCTTGATCATTGGCAGCCGTGCGCGGCGACGAGTCACGAAACGAAGAGTCGGAAACTCGCGCGGGCTGTTAAGCGGCGGCCGGCTCGATATCGCATTAAAACGACGCGGATATTTCGGGCGACGGTCGCTATTTAAAACGCTTAAGTATTTTTACGCGATGTACGTGTGCATATGCGTCTCGGGAATCGAGTATTTTCGTCATCGGCGGACAGCTACGCGGAGAAGCGTCTCCGCGGCGATCAGCCGCCCGTTAAATATTCAGTCGATTCGCCCGAGGTGGCGCGATTAACCCCTTGCGGTCCGCTTGCGATCCTCGACGCGGGAAGTAAGAACTCGCGACTGATTGTCCGTTGTCCGAGGACGACACGTCCTGGCTGCACGAGCGGAAGGATTCCTATTTAATCAGCAGTCCCAGCTACATCGCGTAAGCGAGTTTTCGCGCGAACGAATGCTCAAACGAGTCTCTTCGGCGAGGCGTCATTTCTCGCCAGCGGGATTTTCGTCTGGTCTCCCCATTCTGTCGCGCAAACTGACACTTTTTCCTGTGGACGTTTCTTTCCAGTCGATCCGTAGACTATTCACTTGCTCCGCGGGGCGAGTGTGTATGGTCCGCGTTTGCTTCGATATTTCAGCTAGAACGAAACGCGCGGCGTCGAGGAAGACTCGACGCGGAACCGCAAAGGGTTGAAGTAACGCGCGAATGCTGCGGGGATCGTTAAAACGGCGGAACTCGCCATTTTTCAGCAGACACGTAACGTCCAGAAAAAGTTGTATCGAAATTTAGAAAGTGGAACGACCTCCCGGGAGATCATAACGCCGGAATCCGAAAATGCGACTTTACCGACATTCCGGGATGTCCTCGTTGCACAGCCGAGTGCGTTGGTGCATCATTTGAGCAAAAGTATCCTCAAATTGCTGCGCGTTAATACGGCTGCGTGATACTATTTGTCGGGCAATAGTTTCTTCTCGGAAGGAACTTTCGCGAAAAATTCTATCCGAATGACACAATTTCGGCGAAAAGTCGAGAAATCGCACGAATGCGTTTTTCGAGTATCATCGCAGTCGGACAAATCTCGATGACTCTTTCACACGCGTCTTCCGACGAAATTTATTAATTTAACTTAATTTATTTCATTCGATCAATTTATAGTATTTATGCAATCACTTAATTATCGTAATTTCTTTAATCATTAGAGTATATAATATTCGCTCGATTAGTTTGATTCGCGATTTGTGAAGCTCGAAGCAATGTCCTGATCGTCCTGGTATCCGGACCTCGGAGAGTACCGCAACTCTCGAACTTCGAGATCTTGATTTTTCGGGATATCGTTCCATGCTCAGTACGCGTCGCGATCTCGCGCCAATCGGTGGACGCTTAATCATCTCCGAGCAGACTAGTTTTCCCGATTGTCCGCGGCCAAAGGACCGCTTCGCCGTCGCGCGGCCCTCCGGAGAACTTGTTTCGCCCGCCGTCTAGTTTTTGCGTACAGCGACGTGTCCATAATCAACGGCGCGTGACGCGATTCCGCTCGATAAGGGCCGTGGCGACGGGGCTCGCGCGGGGAAAAGAGGAGAAAAGCCGCGCCGCGAACGCCGGGGCGCGAGTTTCCTCGCCGCACTCCGCGGGCCCTCGTGCGTTAATCATCCCATCAATGCAAATGAATTACGAGTCCTCGCGCGCGCGCCGTTCAATCTCAAGCGGATTGCTCGCGGCACTGTTCATCTAATGTTCAATCATTCAATATCGAACGTTGATTGCCCAAGGGTCATCAATGACCGCCAACGAGATAAATATTGAGCGACGAATATAGTGTGATATAATCGCATATTACGCAATATGTTGTCATTATGGATGGACGATATTTATAGACAGGTCTTTTATTGAAGAGCGTCTTCGTTTCATCTTCGCAGTGCAGCCTCTACAGCCCAAGATGACCGAAGATGATCTCAGATCTGACTAGATCAAGACCTGACTAGAAGTTGAACGTCTCACGGCTAGTCGCGAGGCGACAAATTTGTATCCGACGTCGCTGTTAGAGTCGTCCACAGTGACAGGAGGTGCTATTCAGAGACAACGTGTAAAACCGTAATAATCTCACTTTAGTCCCGGCTGAGTTAGTCCTTCGATAGTCTAGCCTGGACTAACGACGAACGAAGACTATGCCATTCAGAGATATTTTTAATAAGAAAGAAATACTTTAAATTTGGTATCCAGACTAGGGAAATTAAACCTTTCGGGCGGTATTCATAGTAGAATCTTATATTTAATCGTCCGAAATTTATCGTCGAATACTCTGTGATCAACGGAATGCAATCACCAGGGAATTGTCAAAGCGCAATTTTTGAGGTTTGTGTTTACATTTTGGGATTCTTTTCTTTTTTTAATTCGTAACAGTAAAATTATTCTCAGTAGATACGTCAAGTAAAATAAAGCGGAATGGGAAAGCTGATGGGACTACAGAAGGAGAAAGTTTCCTGACGGGTTTGATATTAAAGAAAAAAGAATATGAGAAAAGATGTACGAATACGAACAGGGCCGAACAAGAATGTTGGACGAACATTTTTGATAATATCAATGAATATATTAAAGTGTAGAGTAAATTCCTCAAATATTATCATACCTCAAGGTTTTTTTTAAATAAATATTTTATTAAATATTATATAATCGGTCTATTTTATGATTTTTATTACTATTGAGTGTGACACAGGAATATTAAATTTTTTCTCACAAAAAAAAAACAAACCAAACAAAAACGCATTTTTCTCAAATGTCATAAGACGAAACTTGAAAACAAGTATTGCAATATGGACCGCCTGGTGTTTAATATGGACCAGAAACCGATTGGCAAAGAGTAATCTTAATTGCAGCAATTTCTTATATGAACTAATACTCAAATCATATTGTGTAACGTTATTACAGTCATAAAATTAATTTTTGGTACAAAAATTGCAAAAATGTACATCATTTCCTGCGTCTTTTTCTTTGTTTTTCTCCTTGTTTCCAGTTCTTCGTTTAATTTTCTCTTCTTGTTTAATGATTAATATAGATAATATAGATTAATATTTGAATATAGACTGCTAGTGCATACTTTTGAGGACCCCAAAATAATCCATAATACGAGCACGCTACCTATTTGTATCTGATTTGATTTCTATAAAATACCATTAGCGATAATAATGTAAATAATTACGAAGATGACTGGTAAGGACTCTATCATTTTGAAATATTAAACAATGCTAAAAAAAGACTAAAAGCTTACCGAAATTTTACATTGAGTGCGGACAAAATCATAAATTGGCCGTCACTTATACGTACGTGTGACTGACGGAATGACGGCGCGGTGAGAAGTATCAGCTGTGGCTAGTTTCACTTTGCTACTGGCGGCAGGTTTTTAAAAATGGCAGTAGTCCATATTATATATCCGACTGGCCTATATTTGGGGATTTACTCGATGCATACGCTTGTAGCAGTTGATAATTAAACCAACCCTAGACCACTCCTGCAGGTAGCTTAAATTTAAGCTGGGTTTAATACAGGACTAAATCGTAAAAAAGTGTCTCTGAAAATATACGTCATTGGTCTCTTCTTATACTATCGTTAGACTACGACCAAACCAAGCTCGTTCCGCCTCTGAATAGCACCCAAGATATCTGAAAGATAAGACCGGACTGCGAACACCGCGACTACTCGTGACGAGACGAAAACTTCACACGGGACATAAAAAAGAGGGGGAGCGGGGGGAGGGGGAGTGAACGCGTTAAGAAAGTCACGGGTGAAATTGTCGTGACGAGAGGTCCTTCCGGAGGATTGAACGACGCGCTCGCGCCGACGAGACTCGCGCGGCACGCTTTTTCGGCGGCCTGCATATTTTAAGACAGTAGACTCGACGCGCGGTGTATCCATTGCGCATTTTTCATTCCGTTTCGCCCGCGACCCGTTGCAGTGGGCAAGGTAATGGCCAAAGACGAAGCCGGCGGACCAGGAGGATCCGTGGCGGCCGCTGCGGTCGCGGCCGTAGAAAAGCACTTCGCGATGCATGGACTTTACGGGCTGCCGCCGAGCGCGGGCGCGACCGTCGGACCGTCGGCCCAGACCCAGCGACCGATCAAGCATTCTGGCTCTCGGGAGGAGACGCCTCAGGAAGAGCAGGATTTCCTCTCGACGCCTCACAGTAAGTGGAGAAGATTGCGACGATCGGGAGACAGACCCGCGGGGCTTTTCAAAGGACCTTCCGACGCGCGGACTCAAATTTCCCGCCACTTCCTCACGCGTTTGGCTCTTCGCGAGTCCTCACAAGGATTAATCGAGATTCCGATTTCGAGTCATTGGGAGACTCGATCAAAAATATAGTTGCCGATACCGGGTGACTCATATGTGAGGCTGACGATTGGACTAGCGGGGAATTTTGAGAGTTTTGCTCGATGTGTGCTAACGATATTTTTTACACGAACGAGTTCTCCCTCCAAATCGTGGAATAAATATATATATATAATAAATTTATTAAATAATTTATTATGTGATTTGTATGTACTTTTATCCTAGAGAGTGTGACGAACGTAAAGTTAGACCAGTATAGCGCGTGTCCGCTAAAACTTACCCATTAAGAGGGGAATTACATGCGGAAGGCTGTTTTCAAGGCTATTTTTACGACCTTTTTAATAGAAACGGTAACATTAGTGGACTTGAAGTTTTCGCAGTATATTCATTAATGTTCCAAGAATAAAATAAATTTTATTGACTCACAAGAACTGATTCAATTTGTAATTATAGATAAAAATGCAGTCATCCGTTTGCGAGCTTTATGTTTGCTGTCGACATAATTCCGGGCCTCTCATTACTCTGAAACCAAAAAATGAAAAAGATTTTTTAAATATACAGTTGTCATTATAGCCCGTACCAAAATGAAGACAGTGAAGCCAAGTTTGGAAAAATAATGATTGTACAAAAAAAAAATCGAAAATGAAACTTTTTTCAACTTGTAATCATTTAAAAAAAAAATGAACGAAATGAAATATAACTGTGGTCGAAGTAGGGGCGAAAATTACCTGTCTATTGTGTATTGTATAAAATTTTCAAGTTATTTCGTTCAGTAGTTTTTGCGTAATCATGTCCACAGTTTAAAAAAATGGTGTTTCCAGATAAAGGTGTTAAAAATTTTACGTGTACTTTCTATATGGATAGTAACAAATTTATTTTATACTTTGAACATTAATGAATACACTGTGAAAAAAAATATAAAGTCCATTGATCCTACCGTTTCTGTTAAAAAAAATTCGTAAAAATAGCCTTGAAATCGGCCTACTTCGCATATTTAGGGGGTCAAGGGGGGCCTAATTCCTCCCTTAAAAATTTTGAAGTTACTCCCGTTCTACTCTTCAAGGGGGACAAATGAGGGTAAGAGTAAAAAGGGTCTTGGCACAGATTTAAAGGCCTCTCCTGGGATCTGTGAAATTCGAGGGCAAAACGATCAAAATCGATCCGCGTAGTTCTCGGGGTGTGAAGTTGCCGGGTCTTGTTTGGATCGCTCTGTACTTGTCGCTGTACTTGATCGCTCATAAACTTGTCTACTAACTTGTCTAAAAGAATACGAACACGGGATGTATGAACAGAGTGCGCGGTACCTGTCGCGATAATTGCACGTCGTTCCGCATAGAAAGCCACAACTCCGGCCGTCATGTCGTATCTCGTATATATGATTCGGTTTTAAAATTACAGTGTGGCGAGACCCGGCATATAAAGTAGCGGAGGACATAACGGAAAAAGGTAAGCAGTTCTATGAGTAACGATTAGGCTGATATTACGCTCTTGTTTTGAGAGCGCCAAGCGACGCCCTCGAAATTAGATTCGTTTCTCACGAGAGTATCGTGAATCGCGACTACGTGACATCTAACGCCTCTTCTTTCTCTCTTTCTCTCTTTCTCCCTCTCTCATTCTTTCGCACTCTCTTCAGCTAAAATGGTGAGACAGCAGAAAAGGGAGGGTGAGAATAAACCACATATCAAGCGACCTATGAACGCGTTCATGGTGTGGGCCAAGGACGAACGTAGGAAGATCTTGAAAGCCTGCCCAGACATGCACAATTCGAACATATCGAAAATTCTTGGTAAGCATACTCATCGGTATCATCTTTCATATCCGCGTTTGTAGCCAGTGGTGTTCAATCGTGGGTCGGCTCTTTGCTCGACGGTAACTCGACACCGATTCGATCGCGTCTGCACCGATAGAAATCTCAATGTAACCGAACGGGAGTGACAGACGAAAAAATCGGCCACGACGAACGACATCTCCGTTACCGTGTTCGATAAAAAAAAAAAGTTCCCCCGGGCGCTCGGCCGCATGAGAACTTCATTGAGACGACTGAGTACATATAGGGAAATACATGCCGTGATATAAATATTACTTGTTTTTCAAATATTCCCTAAGTTCGCATCCACGAATCTGTCGTGGACTCACCGCAGGCATCAAGAATCTTAGCAAGTTTAACGCTTCAATCGGGAATATTTAATCAAATTAAGATGCTCGAGCAAAAAATTGTTAGGGCCATCCTTGTAAAGCATAAAGCCTCGATAAGGCTGAAAGTAGGATGCCCTGAAAAGGGATATCTCATTATTACTACATCAGGCCCTGAGATCTTTTAGGGATGCTTGAGATTTTAGGAAATAAGGCTTTAATAAGGAAAACTGAGTGGGCGTTAGAAGGATCTTTTAAGAGGATGCTTTAGATATACAAAATCAAGTTTTGTTATAGAAAATTGATAAGATCTGAAGCGTGTAATAAAATTGTCATAGTTTAGTATTGTTTCAGTAGGTACGCTCTATCTGGTTTTTTTAAAGATTTTTTAATTATACCGCAATTAAAAACAAATTTTATTAGTTTTATTAGTTTTATTATGCCATATTCATTAGTCTCTTTCAAGGATTTTTCTTAGAAGTATTGCCTTCGTTTTGAAATGTAGCAAACTGTAATAGTAACGAGATTTTTATATGTAAAGAATGTTTTATGTTATATTTTATTGTGAAGTATGCTATACTTTTAAAATAAAAAGATTCTGTTGTATACTAACAAGGTTATAAAGAAATAAAGAAATTACAGTCTAAATTTCTTAGAATGAAAAGAACGAATATTTTTACTCAAGCAATGATAAAAATATTTCCTTACAAGGACCTCATAATATTGCCTTACAAGGAAGGACCCATTAAACCATTTGTTACACATCTTGTAGGGCCCTTGTTTTTATATCCTTACTAGGGCCCGATTAATGTTAAGAAAAAATAATCAGATCCTTACCAGAGCCCTATTAATTTTTCTACTCTACTAAATGATTAAGTGAAATAATATTAAATTAAAAATAATATTAAATTAAAGAAGATCGAGTAAGAAGAAGGGTAAACCGAGTAATTACTTTTCTTGGCTACGAAATGATATATTCCTCCCGTGTGTAAGAACCTCCCACAGGCCCATTTTCGTAGCCGAGTTTTCATCCTCGCGCTGCCGAGGCGCTATAAAATTCAGTTACACGAGCCGAGTCTCTCCTCTTCGCGTCCACGCGAGATTTCACGTTAGTGAACAAAACAAAAGAGAAAAGAAAGCAAGATACGACCCAGATCACTCGGTTTGTCCGAATTACAAAATGCGGATTAAAAGGCGCAGATAACACAATCTCTCTCTCTCTCTCTCTCTCTCTCTCTCTCTCTCTCTCTCTCTCTCTCTCTCTCACACGTTCGTCGTTTTGTAGGCGCCCGATGGAAAGCAATGTCGAACTCGGAGAAGCAGCCGTACTACGAGGAGCAGTCGCGGCTGTCGAAGTTGCACATGGAGAAGCACCCGGACTACAGGTACCGGCCGCGGCCGAAGCGCACGTGCATCGTCGACGGCAAGAAGATGCGCATCTCCGAGTACAAGTCGCTGATGCGGCAACGACGGCAGAACAATATCCGGATGTGGTGCGGCGTACGGGACGGCGGCCCCGAGATGGGCTTCTTGTCGCCGGTGGGCGCCGACCTCGGCTCACAGCATCATCCGGGCGCTGGTGCCGGTCCATCGGCGCGCCCGTCGGTCTCGCCGCCGGCGACGATGCTGAACGGCAGCGGCGGCGGTGGCGGCGGTGGCGGCGGCGGCGCCGGCCCGAGCTCGGACCACCCCTCGTTTTATTACCCGCAGGACAGTCTCTCGCCTACGGACATGATGAACTTCTCGCCCGAGAACTCGGGCTCGATCGGCGGCTACGACGCGAGTCCGCGGCATCACGACGAAGATTGAACCGTGGCTCCGGGTCAGCCACTTTGGCCGCCCGGAGCATCATCGTCATCCCCATCGGCAGCGGCGGTGGTGGCCGCCGCCGCCACAGCCGCCGCGGCTGCGTCCACGTCGAGGCTCGCTCATGAGCTCTTCTGGTAACCGGAATCGTCCGTCTCACGCTGCGGCACGCTGTGCCTCGAGACAGCCACGAGCCGCCGCGAGTGCCGTGAAGTCACAGACCGCGACGTCGTCGTGCCTGAAGACACGAAGACGCGGGTCGGAGCGGCGCTACCCGCGCGACCAACGGACTACTCGGAGAAGAGGACGCGCCGCTCTTCCCGGCGAAGAGCCGGCCGCGCCTCGTGACCTCGCCGGAGGTTGTGATATAAACGTTCTATCTCTCTGTGCCATCGTACACGAAACGCGAAGGACTTGCCCGCGAGGCAGAGGCGCGAGGCACATGCCATGTCCACCTGTGCTTGCTGAGAGCCCGCCCGATCGTCGTGACGTCGCTCGATCGTCACTCGTCCTTGGCCCGTGCTCGACCTCGCGACGCGACTCCATTTTCTCCCGGTGCACCGACGACGAAAGCTCTCGACTCCACGTGTATATCTGTTGCTCCCGTCTGAATTTGCGCGCCCGCTCCCCCGCGTCCGTCGAGCCTCCCTCGTTAGCCGTTCGCTCTCTCGAGCACCTCCAAACGAAACACCCGTCGGTCTCTCGCGGCCTTTCAACAATTCCGCGACAATTCCGAGCCCACGCCGACGACGTTCAATCATTTTCTACGGAACCGACATCCACGAGCCGTCGTAGTCGTCGTAGTCGTCGTCGTCGTCGTCGTCGTCGTCGAGCCGTCCAATATGGGCGTTCTGAAATTCCGCCGGGACGTCAGCGTCGAGAGCGACGACGCCTGTCGCCCGGTTTTTCTTCTGCTTTCGTACACTTGCGCGACGATATCGCAGCGACGTCTCGCACATGCGCCGCGGCGGGACTCTCTTTGCATTCTCTCTCATCGTAATCAAAACTGCAGTCCATGCGAGAAACGCACGATAAGCCGCGATCACAACGGTAGCTGAACGTGTAGATATATACGATCGGCCGATAGCGAGACGTTGAAGCTCGCGGATTCGGTTGCGCTCTCGGGCGCGAGACGAGGGCGAGGGATGCACACACGCGCATTCGCACGATTTTTATATAAGACAATCGCTTCGGCGCGCCGCCGACTCGGACGCGACTCTCGTGCCGATCCCCTTTGATCGGATACTTCGATACGTAGCGACATTACGTAACACGTTGCGACACGATGCATGGCCAAAAAGTCTTGTTCCTATTCCTTCTAGTGTGTGTATGTGTCTCTAACGATACGCCATTCCGGTCGCGGACGTATTGAGCAAGCAAATGGAAAAAAAAAAGGGAGAAAAAGGCAAAAAAAGAAAGACGACGACGTAGAGATTAAAAAAGTGTGGTCTAAACAGCGCATCCCCCGCAACGACCGCGCGCGTCCGGACGCGTGGACGCGCACGTGGCATTCTCTGGATACCTACCTGTCTACCTAGCGGCCGCCAGTCCGTTGTCTCTAATGTGCAACCACCGTATCTAACGACTGCGTTCGGTGCGCCGCGGCCGCCGAATCGCCGGTCGCAACCAGAGTGAGAAACGACAGAAAAAGAAAAGAAAAAAGAAAGAAAAAGAAAAAGAAAAACACGTTAGAGGATAATCGCCCGGGCGACTTGCCCCGCGCGTGGAAACGCGTGAGGGAAACGACGATTTCGTTTAATTAATATCACCCATGCTTAGTACTTATAGTATTTTCATCGTTAATTTATTGATCCTAATGTAATACGCGGCGCGTAGCCGAGGCAATAGTCGACTGAACGGGGAGGGGGGAAGGGAGAGCGGTAAAATAGGACGGACACGTGAATTAGCGGAACGTCGATCTATTAGTACAACGTTACGGTAAATATTGCGGAAAGGATTGCATAAGCGGTATTGTGGGGTTTGTCCAACGATTAGCGCGCGCGCGCGCGCGCGCGAGAGAAAGAGAGACTTTCCGCGTTTGTTTCCGGGTATGATGCGAGGCGCGTTGCGTTACGTTTCTCCAACTGTCGAATTATGTTTGCGAACAAAGAGGTTTGCTATGTAGAGACGGGGCCGATGGAGAGGGGAGGGGAGGGGAGGGGAGGGCAGGGAGGAGATATTCATGGCCTCTCATGGTGTAAGAGGCGAATACGGTTGTAACGTAGTTAAGCAGCATAGTCTGAGAGACGATCGAACAGCGGCGATGTGTAATGATAATGATTTGGAGCTCGATGTGATAATACTTATGTGCCAAATAGCGTTTTCGCGGGCAGGGGGTTAATTAACGCCTCTAGTTCCGAGTCGCCTCGTTGGCTCGACGTGAAACGAATTTTTGCGTCTCCTCTTTTTTCACTTCTTCTTCTTCTTCTTCTTCTTCTTCTTTTTTTTTTGTTATTTATAATCAGTGCAATTATATACACGGTACCTAATATAATTTTATAAAGAGAGCCAGTATCCTCAATATATCTGCACCTGTTTCGTTGGGACTCGATAGGTGTCAGATTAGGATAGCTTAATGTTGATAATAATTTATTTTATGTATATAATGGATTTGTACAATGTATGTCGGGGATAATTATCGATTACGCGGTCTGACACGAGCGTCAATATTATTAATGTACAGTGTAACTATATTGTGATGTATCTACATAGCTACGTTATGTATGTAATTATTCGAAGTATGTAGATTAACAATGTTAAACGCGATACATATTCTTATTTTCATTGTCATTATTAACTTTATTATGATGACGATTATTATCATTGCCATTGGTGGCATCGTCATTATTATTATTATTATTATTATTATTATTATGATTATTATTATTATTATTATTGTCATCATCATTATAAATATTACAGTTATTACTATCATCGTTGCTACTTAGTACTATTATTTAAGTGTAATCAGCCTTATTATTTCTAGTAGCAAAAAAGGTTGTACGTGCCAGTTTAGACAAGAACGGCAAGTAGAGAAGTTCGTTGATCGTTTATATATACTCGAATACTCAACCAAATTTTAATGTCGTATTCTGTGTAACGCATCTTTCCTTTGCCCGTAACGATTCGTCCTAACCACATTTGTCACAAAACGGTGATTTCAGAATACCACATGCGCCAACTTGAAATTTATATGTCTACAAATTCTCCATTTCCATTTTATATTTTACATGTTTGAAACTTTGCCTCTAGCTTAATTTTTGTCGCCTTTCGGTTGGACATTTAAAAATAAGTTACAAATTCCACTTTTCTCCACTTTGCCGTTAGATAACAGCAATCAACAGAAACGTTAAATATTTCGAGTAAAAGATCTGCCTATCTTGCATTTTTTTATTGTGCCATACTCATAACTATCGAAAAAATTTAATTATTTTCATGTTTGCAAAATTACAAGATTAAACCATCTAAACTAATCTAATAATATAAATTGCCCATGTAACAAAGTTCGGCCCGCGTTTTTTATTTCAAAATCTCATCGGCCTTAATTTATTCGTAGTGTCTGCTTTAATAAAAATCGGTTCTGCATTCCATCGATTGCGATTTACATCTATCTAATCACCGAAATTAGCAATAATATTTAGTCCATGGCGATCTCCTTACTTTCGGATATCACGTTACGCGATATAATATCAGCACACAATTATTATATTTACTGGCCTTTACATGCAACCAATGCGAATGCAAACTGTAAGAATAGTAAATTGTAAATCGAATTACGCTACTAATATTATAGTATATTTAACATAAAAAAAAGTGAACACACTAACATCCACTCTCAATATTCCAAGCATTCACTTCATTTACATGTACGTTGTTGTTAATGGTATAAAAAATATATAATAAAATAACGCTTTATCGAAATTCAATCTTAGTTCTAGATATACGACATTATTTCTAGATAAAACTTGTACGTACAAGGAATGTGTACATAGTTGCGCGGTACCGTTGCAAATGGTGTGAGAGAGAGAGAGAGAGAGAGAGAGAGAGAGAGAGAGAGAGAGAGAGAGAGAGAGAGAGAGAGAGAGTGTGAGCGAGCGAGCGAGCGAGCGAGCGAGAGAGAGAGAGAGAGAAAGGTAAAAAGTATGAAAAAAAGAGTCAGAAGCAAGTGTGAGTAAAGTAAAATTCTCGCAATCATCTTAACACTACTCGTATCGTGACCGTATTACACACTATTGGTATGAATAAGCATAAAATCAAAAGATATATAAATATATATAAATATATATATATATATATATACATATATATATATTTAGGATGATGGATAAATCACTACTTATATATATAATGCTACTTTGAATTTTATTTATTGATATGCATCCTCATAACGGGATAATGTCCGTTTTCATCGCGGCAGTGTTAAGATGAGCGTACAAAAGCATACAGTAGAACAAAGGAAAAGTCATACTTCGGAACGCGCATTGTGCAATATAATCATTTAGAGATGTAGCGCTTGCACTTACCGTTAACAGAATACCCGTCGCGTTCATCGGGACATCGAGAAATACAATGACATTTTTATCGACAACAAAAAACTTTCAATAGAAATCTATCTATCAAGACCGCACCACCAGCTGGCTGTGAACTGTGCAACTAACTCTCCTAGCTCATGTTTCATTTTCTGACAAAAAGCACTCTTGTAACGTCATTACTTAGATCAAAACATACAACAATTGACACTGGTGAACTGCAATTATTTATTTATGTTCACATGATCCAAGGTGACTTTTCCTCGTAGGTAGAAACATCAAATGCACTGTATCACAATAGAGAACAGCACTATTATATAAACACACACGCACACACAAACGTATACACATACATATACTTATGTGTATATGTATGTATGTATATGTGTATGTGTGTATATGTATATGATTATATTTATTATAATAATTTGAAAGCTAGGTACTCTTTGTTGTTTGTATTTTACAAGCATAATCATTATTACACCTAAATAAATATCTATATAAATAAATGCAAGAGTGTCAGTCTTGCATCCACTTACCTTAAAAAAATAAAAACAACGTTTAAGATAATAGATAGGAGTTATTTAATGATAGCGTTGATATATATCTAACAAAAATAGGGTTTCGTCTATTAACAATTCCGCGGCACTCAATTTCTGTATTGACTTTTGCACCTTTTCCAGTTGTTGCTTCTCAGATGGTGTGACCATTTCTGCAATCTATAAGAGAAAATATCTTTTTATTGTTATTATTTGATTTGTTGCTGTTGCACTGATGTTTCATACACGACTTACATCAGCTAATTGTTCTTCGGTGGCGCCATGTTCTTTCATATTGCTAGAGAGTATATCCACTCTTAGTTGCTTATCAATCATTCGTTTATTACTAGTTGACTCGTGATCTCGTCTCTGTATGATATTATGCAAAGCATGATAACAATGCCCGATTTGCATTTGGACAACTTGATTCAAATCGATATAAAACATGAAAAATGTTTTCATCGGTCCAGCTGAAACTCCACTTCTTTTCATTTCTTGCACCTGTATGTAACCTTCTTGCGCCAAGGTGTATGTTAACAATTTAGCTTGTCTCGTTGGCATCATTGCAACTTGCTGAAGTTGTTCTAATTCAATGGTGGTTTTATTACGTATTAATCTAAAAATATAAGAAAATCAAACAGTTACACATAAGCATAGGACTATAGCTTACTTTTCGTTTTTCATAATAAAGTGCAATTTTTTGAAGATTGAGTATTTACACCATTACCTAAAAATTCTTGCAGCTTTACTGCCAAATTTTTCCGTTACGATATTGTCCAAAGTTGCCCACGCCAACTGATTGAACGCATTCTTCATGTTGACGCTGTACTGCCCTCCACTGGAATCGCCAACTCGCATGATAAAACGATTGCTGTCTACTTCTATAAGATGCAAGTATTGTTCGAGATATTGCTCCAATTCTGGATAATTCAATTTCTTCACTGCATCCTTTATTTCAGTATATGGAATTGGATTTGACGTATCTGACCAAGATGCAGTTCGCAAGTACATCAAATTGATCAACTGTCTCATTAGTTCCCCAGCATTTTTATCAAATTTTTGAGTAATAGCTGATATTACAATTTGGTCCCTATATACACATGTGCTGATTAATAATTTTTTATATACGCAAAAATATCAATATCGCAATATATCTAGAATAAGTAAACATAACTCAAAATCATATTCGGTATTTTATTAATCAACTAAGGAGGAACATCTGACGCAACAGTTTCTCAATTATATAGATTTTTAATTCCATTATTAATTTAAAGCGTTTCAAACGTCCTCGCGATATGCATCATATACCATTGAAATATTATTAAATTATTATAATAAATGTTCCTTATTGAATGACAAATAAAGTGCTGAAAGAGTATGTATACACACACACACACACACACATGAGTTATATTTATTTACTCTAAAGATAGTGAAATTTTGTCATGTACCAGAATGTCGCAATTTATTTGTCTGCATCGGAACTTTATTTTAAAAATAATAAAAAATCGTTAGAGATCTTTACCTAAGATCTTGAGTAAATCGATCAAAATTGACTTTCCAATATATCTTGCTATCTCCGGGATCACCTTCCCCATTTTCCAGTAAGTTAAAAATGACTCGTAAGTTAAGATCCGGTAAATTATAATCTGGCTTTTTCGTATCATCCAAATTCATATCAAAAGAGAGACTACGCATTAGAAATTGATTTTTAACCAATAATTCAAATGTGTCTTTCACATTCTCAACAGATGGTTCTTGAGATGCTGAAAAAAAATATATAAATATATGATTAATACATTATGCATATATGTATATATCTCTTTTACATATATATTACCATATTATGCAATATAACAGCACATCATTTTTAAGAAAGAAAAAAAAAAAAAAAAAAAAAAAAAAACAAATACTAAATACTAAAGACAATATTATATTTTTAAATTATATACTTACACGGTAATTCCTGAATTCTGTTGTATGTTTTTACTATTAAATCGGATGCTGTGATATAACCGTGCTTCAAAACCTCTTCCAACATGACCTCACTTTCATTTCCACAATATGTTTTCACAAGAAACATGTATCTGCAATAAATATTGTTTATATAAGTATATCAACGTTGTATATATAGATTATTTCCAAACCATATAATCAAACTGCACTAATATATTTTGCAAGTGAAAATGGTAGTAGCAAGTAAAAACTAGATTTTACATAAATGTGAAATATTTGATAAGAAAGTTGTAGGACAAAAGAAGAAAACAATAATATTAATGTAGTTTAATCATTTGATTTAAAAATTCTTGTCCATGCAATGAATGTTTCTGATATCAGATAAATAATTTTATTATACAACTAGTATAAAAACTTTTAAACGATACCTTGGATAGCGAAGAATCATAATGATTCTTTTGCAATCGATCACGTATAGATTAGTCTTTTGTTTAATATAAGTGACAAAGCCATGTTTTACAAGAACATACAGTGCTTCTTTTACCTAAACACAACAAAAGATATATATAAGTAAGAACTGTTTAAGCTAAACTTTTAGCTCAATTAAAGTATACTTTTCGCATTCAGAGTAAAACAAATCTTATCACAAATATATAGCCAAGTTCATATTTCATGCGTTTCCATGTTAAAGAATAAAACAAGTAAGTTCTTTGGTCTTTATAGTTGAGTCGATTGAACTTGCAGCAGTTCCTTCTTCATCTTTTTTCTAACGAATCTATCAACTATATACCAGCTTCTTTTCAAATTTTAAAAATATATGTCAATTTAACAATAAAGGACAGACACAAGGTCTGTTCTTTTCAGTTGAACTAGATTGAACTTTTTGCCTTTAGACCAAAATAAGTATATAATCCAGTTGAAAGAAGAAAAACAAAGTTCCACGGTGCAATATTAGTTCAATTAAAAAGGTGCACGCTTGTATATGACATAATGTTGCGGAGAACAGACACAAACTTCCAACGCAGCTATTCAGCTAAAGAGAAGAGCTAAAAAGAAGTCTAATAGTATTTTACACAATATACCTTTGTAGCTGGCAGATCTACTGTAGATATAATCGAATGTAACGACCTTTGGCCATTATTAATCAAATCAGTGCCTACTTGCTGTACAATAGGTCCAAAATGTTCGACTAACAATAGGGAACACAACTTGCTATAAATTCTGGACATATTCTTCGATTCCTCTGATATAGCACAATCGCATTATGCTCTACGTTTTCTTTTCTCCAGCTGTAATTTGTGTGTCACAATCTGCAAAATTATTCATTCAAAAATATGTAAAAACATATAAATATGTCAAAGTTATTCATTCAAAAATATATAATATTCGTAATTACTAAACATGGTCCAGCCGTTTGTTTGAATGTGCCTTAAACAACATGTGCATAGGTTATTCAAATGATATCTTAAACCTTCAACTACGGTACTCAAGAGTGAGCATATAATACCACCGGTTATCGACCAATAGCCAATCGAGATATTTCAAACTAACGTCGTGGCGCTAGCGTCGCTAAGATTCACAACTTTCTGGAACACCTGCGGATGTTATATCTGACCATGTATGGCAACGAATAACGTTTTGTACATTTTAAGAAAGTCTCATTCGGCTGATTAATCAAACATTGTTCGCAATATACATATGCTCTGTAAAAAAGGATCTTATTGAAATCTGTAAAAGCGACGTTTTTGGCACCACCAGCTTACAGATGTGCGTATTTGACAAAGTTATTTGAAACATATAATATTTTAGCACCAAATGTGATTGATTCGTAACGAGTCTTTATTTGCTCGGCATACGCATTCGAATAATAAATCGGCCGCGATGGGATCGCGCGTAATTTCATCGATTTCGGGTTATCGGGCGTAACGGTGGAAATACTGCAATAATGCAATGGACGCTGCTATTGGTCACTTCGCATTTAGGTCACACACTGCGCTCCTATCGCGCCTTATTTGGAGCACCAAAGAACATCAGTGTAGTCGCGTTGTATAATTACATTCTCATTCCATGATCTTTTCTTTTTTTTTCATAGTTCATTCATATTACGACGTTTACTTTAAACCTCAATATTTCACGCAACATCTCATTTATTGCCAATGTGAACGTGTAGAAGCATTTCGCAGTTATATTGAATTATATCGAATTATAGAAAAATTATTATTATTGGTACATGTACGTGGATAGGGAGAATCGCTGAACAGAGAGCGATCGGAAATTCAATTGGAAATCGATCGTAATATAATGACCGATTGAATTGTGCGGTACCGTGGTAGTAGCACTTCCGGCGGAACAGCATTGTCGCAGATGATCACGTGATCGAGGATCGACTTCTTCGTTTGTGGCCACGAGGTTTTGTAGTGAAAATTAAGTTTACCGGGTGGAAAAGTCCCCTTATTTTTGTAGTTATACAAAAATGCCCTCCAGCAACCCGTTGCCACCCAAAGAAAATGCCTTGTTTAAGCGAATCCTGGTGAGTAACGGATGATCAAAATACTCTGTTTTGGACCCCACTCTTTGGCTAATAGGGTGCATTCATCATGCTCTAATGATAAAGCACTCTTTAGGAAAAACGGGAAAAAGTCACTGGCGATCGTAGAACGCGGCGTTGTGCTTGGCGTTATGATTGAAAAACCATTACACCCGGCGACACTCCGCGAGAATCGGTATCGCCGATTTCGCACAAACGCCGAACAGAACCTACCAAATTAGAATAGAGATCGCTAAACCTCTATGTATGCTGTAATGCATTTTCTTACAGAGTGTTACATGGTGTTTCTTACAGAGGTGTTACGAACACAAACAATATAAAAATGGGCTAAAATTCGCGAAGCAGATCCTGTCAAATCCCAAGTTCAGCGAACATGGAGAGACTTTGGCGATGAAAGGTCTCACTCTGAATTGCTTGGGTCGCAAAGAAGAAGCTTACGATCATGTGCGGCGTGGCCTCAGGAATGACCTACAATCCCATGTTTGCTGGCATGTTTACGGTCTTCTGCAGCGGTCAGACAAGAAGTATGACGAAGCTATCAAATGTTACAGAAATGCACTCAAGTGGGATAAGGATAATATTCAGATTCTCAGGGATCTGTCGCTGCTTCAAATACAGATGAGGGATCTGGAGGGCTACAAGGTAAATATCCCAGAGAGTAAGTTATTTTATTTAGTACACTTACTTTCTCATATGTATACTGGCGATACTGTAATATAATAAATGAGATCTGTTTTGATTCATATTATATATTAATGTAATGATGATTATTTCTGCCTTTAGGATACTAGATATCAGTTGTTCATGTTACGTCCTACTCAACGAGCTTCTTGGATCGGTTTTGCTATTTCGTATCATTTGTTGAGAGATTATGAGATGGCATTGAAAATTTTAGATACTTTTCGGAATTCTCCAATGGTACGTTATATGTATGTCATGTTTTAGTTTGTTCATTAGTGAAAAGTGTAATTGATGCAATGTAACACATATTTATGACATCTGCAGATATGTTACGATTACGAACATAGTGAACTGCTCCTGTACCAGAACATGGTCATCCAGGAGTCGGGGGAAAGTGAGCAGGCGTTAAAACATTTAGACAAGTATAGTGATCAAATTTGCGACAAGGTTACTGTTAAAGAGACCTATGGTAAGTACGCAATGTGATTATATTTCTTCGTGTTACACCGATACCAAGAATTTTACTTTAATGTTTCTCACCATCCTGTTTCCCTTCAGGTAAACTGAGACTGCAGTTGAAGCAGTATGCGGAAGCGGAACAGGTGTATAAGGAGCTATTAGATATTAATGCGGAAAACACGACATATTATATTAGGCTAGCAGAGGCTGAAAATCATACTTCACCGAGTGAAACGTTGCACATGCTCCAAAGATACGAAGATCTTTTTCCTCGCGCGTTAGCGCCCCGCCGTTTGCAACTCAATTATGCGACAGGGGATGAATTTAAAGCCTTAGTTGATCGATATTTACGAAGAGGTAATTTTCTTTACATATATAATTACGCATACAATTCTTTACACGAGAGCAGTATTTGTCCGCGGTGGCGTGTTGACATTCAATTTGTATCTCTTTCGTCGCAGGGCTTCACAAAGGTGTACCGCCGTTATTCGTGAACCTTCGCTCGTTATACACTGATAAGCAAAAAGTTGAAATCATATCATCTCTACTTGTGCAATACAAGGAGGCATTAAAACTTCACGGACACTTTAGCGACGAAGAGAAAGATAATCCGAGAGAACCGGCGTCCGCTTTATTGTGGACATATTATTATTTAGCACAACATTACGATTATCTCGGTCAAACGGAAAAGGCGCTGATCGAGATTGACGCTGCCATAGATCACACTCCTACGCTTATAGAACTTTTTGTTACCAAAGGACGCATTTACAAGGTAAGACACGCCATTATGTCACATGATCTATGCGCAAAATCTTAGATCCCGTGTTGATAGTCGCTATTTGCAATCCCCGCGTGATACATTGAGATCTAAGCTTGGAATTAACTCGCGTCTAACTCTAAATTCAAATTCGAGTGTCTCGCTCGAAGCAAATTTCAAGTAATGATATCGATCTTACGGTTGACAGCATGCAGGGAACGTCCATGAAGCTTACAAGTGGCTGGATGAGGCGCAAGGCTTGGATACAGCTGACCGTTATATTAACTCTAAATGTGCCAAGTACATGCTCCGTGCGAATCTTATCAAGGAAGCCGAGGAGACTTGTGGAAAGTTCACGAGAGAAGGAGTCTTAGCTATGGAGAATTTAAACGAGATGCAGTGCATGTGGATCCAAACAGAAGCTGCCTATGCTTACATGCGTCTCGGAAAGTACGGAGAAGCTTTAAAAAAGTGTCACGAAGTTGATAGGGTGAGTTGTACTGCGCACACACGTGCATGTATTGTGCGTTCAAGACACCTCGTGGAATCTGTTGTAACATGACGCGATTGTTTGCAGCATTTCTCGGAAATTATAGAGGACCAATTTGACTTTCATACCTACTGCATGCGGAAGATGACGTTGCGATCGTACGTCGGGCTTCTGAGGTTAGAAGACGTCCTTCGAGCTCATCCGTTCTACTTCAAAGCAGCGCAATGTGCGGTAGAAGTCTATCTACGGCTGCACGATTATCCTTTGCCAGATCCAGCGCAAACACAAGAAATCGACACCGGTGAGTTCTTTTATTTTTTTATATGTTATGTATCGTCCTTTAAGGAAGATTATCCTCTCGAAAAGGCTCGAGGCTGATCCAGCCACCGTAGTCTGTGCGATTGTCGAAACCGTTGCGAGGATTAATCGCTATTTTTTCGATATTTTTATTTTATCGATAACGTTGAAAGTGTGAAAGTATTTGTTTAATCCGTCGAAAATCCTTTCCTCTTCGTGTTAAAAATAATACGTAAAACATATAACGTATAAAATTCTCTCTTCTGATTATATATCTCGATGAATTGCATACTGTAATCTTTGATACGTGCGATATCCCCGAGTTGAAACTTTGATTCTATATTAATTTTCGAATTGTATCGAACGTTGAGAGTCGACGGTGAATCTCGAGATATAACATTATACAGACTGTTGTTGTTTTTGATGTTGCAAGTGGTTACTTGCCGTTTTATCTAAATTTAATGAACAATTTGCTTAAGAACGATTGAATTTCTCATCATCTCAATAGTCCATATCGAGCCTTCATATTGAAGCCTGAACAATAAACAGGTAAATGAAATAACGAACTTTTTTATCATTATTTTTCTATTATAATTTGACATTTTGATAAAATTCGGATATTTAAAAGAGGTGGAAAAGAAGAAATCGTAAAAGAGTCAACCGCTTCGTTCCGCCTCCTGTGTTTCATCCTAGAATCGGCTCCTAGAAAAAGTAGTCAATCTCATTTCAATCGGAAACGTAGAGTTAATTGATAATCCTAATAATTTAATGATACAATAATTTAACAATTTGACTACTTCGGGGGTCTCGAGTCTCTTGAGAGTGTTGATTGTTGTGATTTGTCGGCAACCGAACTCATCATTGATTCACGGGCAAGAACGGTTCACGATTGACAGGAGATGATTATTGTTTTCGAAAATATTGTTTTGGTACTGTCGTCATTTCTTCATGATCGAATTATTACGTTTTAAGCCGACGACGGTAGGGATATATCGACGTGACGTGAAACATGCACATCGGCGTGTTCACACTTTTTTTTCCGTTGAGTGACTGAATAATTTCTTATCTGTTTTAACTCTTGAACATTAGAATGCATGAAAATTCACCCGATGATTTTTTTTTTACCTGTTGCCACTAGATGGCAACACATATCCTAGCAGTGTCCTGCTAGGATTTATAATATTATCGTTCGTATATATTCAAAAAAAGAAAGATAATAATAAAAAATTTATGGGGGTAAAGATTTACCCGTCCTAGTAATAAGAGGTAACAAGAACATCCTAGTATTCAAGGATCAAATATTCAAATTCTATCAAAATTTTCAACGTCGATAAAACAGGTAGTAACAAGGAAATTATAAAGATAAAAAGTTACATCACTTACCCATTAATTCTATTATTTATCCATATTAATTGCTTATCGCACATATTCCGTCTGTAATTGAGTAAGTTACATAATTAACATATTGTTAATTGAAATCACGAATAAATATATTTTGGGCAGGCAGAAAATAAAGTCAATATGAAATATTAAATAATTCTCAAATGAATGCTTCTTCAATCTTCAGGACGAAAAAACGGCGATAAGCAGCGACAGCATTGTTTATAGTATCAAAGTAAATCGATAACCTGCAATGTTACATCTCGAGGTTCTCCACTGATCCTTCAAATTCGCATTAGCGGGGTTAATGTAGTCCCTAAAACTGTCGGTTCGGGATAGTTTGGAAAGTATTTTACGCGACACCGTCGCGAGAAAATCACAAGTACCATCACACCGAGACGATACGATTATATTATGGCATTATGCGACTATACAGACTATACAAAAGAAGCATAGAAGCGTACAAATAATTAATAATTTTAGAGCAGGTGTGTATTACACTAGTCCGTACAAAAGATCTCTTAAAAATGTCGCTCCGAAGCGGATAGACTCGCGCTGCTTTCAGCGCGTGTTATCGCGCCTTTTAATCGTATCTGCTTTATTCGCGAAACAATTCGGCGCGACCTGCCGAGAACTCGCGCGCGTGCCACAAGCGATCAAAGAGCCGCAATATACATCTGGATACTCGCGTAATCCCGTCGTTAATCACAGACAATGCGCGAACACGCACGGCCGCGCAGCGCGCGTACGTGCGAAAAGCAAAAGCGGAGATACGCGCGCACGCTTCTGTCGTTTCCAGGCGGGGGAGCCGGGGGTAGCATAAATTAAGTCATTTCTTCGTAGAACAACGTGGCTATAATTATCTAACTTAGTCTCAGAGTGTCATATTTACAAGTACAATAAATATGTTAATACACGCGTGCGCGCCGCGTGAACGGGCTCGACGCGACGCGCGCTTACTTCGCGCTGGGGTATCCACAAGATTATGGCATTATGCGACTGCCGTAGAAACGCACGGGAGACGAGGTTCCAGCCCGTGCAGCTGAAAGCTGGGCGGGGAGGGGAGGGGGAGGGGGTTCGCCGGCGAGAAACGCGACATCTCATCCTCCGTCCGACGACGTTCGACTGAACTTGACTTGAAACTCGCTTCGAGGCGATTGGAAACGATCGTCCGATTCTATGATCGATCAGGGTCCCACGGGAGGACCCTTCTCGTCTCAGCACAGCCGAGCTTTCCGCTTCCGGTCCCTCTGTCCCGCTTCGGAGACTCTTCAGTTGCACCGACGGAACCGGGTTCTCCGTGCGCGAGAAGCGCGCGAGGGCGAACGTCCCTCAAGCCCGGTCACCCGGGCGTCGTCTCCGTCTGAGTAACCTCGGTTCCCTCGGCTTCGGGTAGACGTAACCGCCGTCCTGGCCGTCCTGCCGTTGCGTGATCGCCTGCGGCGTGAGGAAGTAAAAGTGGCCGACGTCGCCGGGCAGTCGGTAGGCGAAGTACGCGTTCGGGTTATCCGAGCCGCTGTCCTGCGCCGGCACGGGCTCGATGAACTCAGCGTCCGGGTTGATGGGTGGCCGCGGGTCCCTGAAGTTCACTTCTATGTCGTCCAACAGTGACACCGGTGGCGGCACCTCGTCCAGCTCCTCCCGCGACTCAGCGAGCGGCACGAAGTTGCTGGTGTGCCTGTCGCTCGTCCCCTGCACCCTGTAACGAGGAGTAGGCCTGCGCTGCTGCTGCAGCCTACCTTGGTCCTGCGGCAGCCGGTAATTGTCCGCCTGCAGCTCGTAGCTCGGCACCAAGGCCTGCGGCCGCGTCTTCGGCCCGACCGGCATCTCGATGAACTCACTGTCCGGGTTGATCGGCGGCAAGGGTCTTCGGTAGTTGACGAGCGTGTCGTCCTTGAGCAAGTATGGCCGCTGTGACTGATCGCCGTAGCGCACGTTGACGTTGGGCGTCTTGTAAGCGAGCGGTCGGTTGGTCTTGTAGACGCCTGATGACACGTAGGCGTTGTGCTCCGGTCGCTCGGTGATGCCGCTCGACTTGCCGTAAAGTGGAGTGGTGCTCGAGATCCCCGTTTCCGGCAGTTTCTTGCCGAAGATCGTGAAGTACTCCTTCGTCACGTCGTCCAGCAGCTTCTCGTCCTGCTGCGTGAAGTACGCGTGCTGCGGGTTGGGCGTCGTCTCCACGATGGCGGAGTAGCCGGTGCTCGTGGGGTAGGCCGGACGTCGCACCTTGTACGACGCGTCCTTCCGCGGCACTTGCTGCCGCGACGGCGAGTCGATGTCCTTGTAATCGTACTGCTGCTCGCCGGCCTTGAAGCCTCGATACTCGCTGTACGGAGCGTTCGGCTCCTGTTGCTCTTGCCTGTGTTGCTGATACGCTCCTTGATTGCCGCCGCGCTTCGAGTAATCCGCTATCTGGAAGCTGTACTGATAGATTGGCTTAGGCTTGGCGCTCGGCCGATAGTACGGCTGCGGCTTCGAGGTTGTGTAGTGCATCTCCAGCGGGTGATTCGGCCGCGCCTCGGCTACCGGCTGGTAATACACGGGCGCTTGATCGGCCAGCATGCGTTGGCTCTGGCCGCGAGACGGGCTGGTGTCGAAGTTGGGGGACGTGGCGGCCGAGTCGGTGTACTGGAACGTCTGCGAGTTCTTCACGATGCTGTCGATGAGCTTGTAGTCCTTGGGGCTCTGGAGCTCCGGCTCGAGCGTTTCCACGGTGTAATAGTGTTTCTTCTGCTCCGTCTGCCGAGGTCGCGTCTCCACGTTGTAGTACGGCGACTTCGTGGTGGTGGTAGCGCTGGTGGTGGTCTTGTAGTAAACGGCCTGCGGCTTTGACGTCGTCACGCCCGAGTCCTCGTCGGACGACTCTGCGTAGAAGTAGTAGGACGCGTGGTTGGGTTTACCGGGTTGGCTGGTGGTGATGATGCTCTTGATGGAGGCCGGCGTCACCTCCACCGGTCGCTCTATCGACGACTGCGTGGTCGACGGGTAATACGCCAAGACCGGGACCGACTTGCTGGTCACCAAGGTGGACCAGTCCTGCTGAGTCGTCGCCTCGGACACTTGGTTGTTGCTTACGGAACCGATGGTGTACATCTCGGTGTTCTCGAGGGTGCTCGGCTTTCTAGATGTCGTAGTCGTCATCTCCAGCGCCGACATGGTCCTCTGCCTGGGCGTGAAGGCGTTGGTCGTGTTTTTCGCGGTCGTACGACCGTAGGACCTCTTCTCGCTGACCGTCGACGAGACAGTCGTCTTGGTTACAGAAGTCGGCGAGACCGACGGCGTGGTCTTGTATTGTTTGCTTGTAAACTTCCTCGGCGGCAGATAAGTCGGCCGTGTTCTCGGCGAGGCTGTGGTCGTCGGTCGTTTCGTGTACTTCTTCGTGGTGGTCTTCTTGTCGTCCAAGGCGGAGAAGAAGTCCGGCGGCGGCGGTAATATGATACCCGGCACCAGAGGACCCGGCGGTACAGCGGTCGTGTTATCTTGCGGATAATAGAAGCTGTACGGCGGCGGGTAGTAAATGGACTGGTCCTCCTCGTCGTAATCCGACTGATTGCCCGGAGGCGGTACGAAGACCGCGCCGGGCGGGATGGCGTGATAGAACGGCGGAAAGCCGTTTCTCGGTGGCTCGGCTTCCGGCCTCCTCAGCCTCTTCTGATCGTTGTCGTTTCCCCTGGACGACTTCTCCTCGACGGAGAAGTTTCTTGCTGGCGGGCCGAAGTCCGGGCTCACTAGCGTACCATTCGGAGCGATGGCGAGGAACGGATTCTCCCCTGGTAATAGCCCCTTCGTATAGCCCGGATCCGTGCTGTAGTCGACTTCCGTGGTGTCGTTCGACCCGATGATCTGTACCGGTCCTCCTTCCGTGAGCTGAACCGGAAAGGGCGGCGGTACCTTGGGCCGCGCTGGGATCTTGACCTGCCGCCTGGGCGCCTTGTAATCGTCGATAGGCGGCCATTTCTCCGACGTGTCGTCGTTGCTGCCGCCGCTACCGTGCTGACCGTCCTCGTGCTCGGGAAATCTCCCGCCTCTCAACACCAGCACGTGATTCTCGGCCAGCCAGATCTCCTCCTCGTCGAGACCACCCAGATTGTCGGCCGTGTCCTTCGGCACCTCGGGGTTCTCGAGGTAGCTGATGATACCTGGCCGTTTTGGCCGGTCCCTGTAAATCTCGTCCTGTATGAGCCCGTACTTGCCCTCCTTGACCTGCTGGGAGAGTGTTTTCTTCTCGTCCTCGTCGTCGCCGCCGCCGCCGCCGCCGCCGCGAGGGTTTTTCCCCTCCTTGCCGTTGCCGGCCGCCGACATGAGAATTCCATCGTCCCACAGAGACTCGTCGTCCTGGCGCTTCGCGTCGACTTTCAGGTGACCTCCGATCAAATGGTGAGACACTTTCCTTCCGGGTTCCGTGGTGATCGCGTTGTTCGCGCTGCTTGACGACTTCGTGCTGTCCTGCTGGGCGTACACCTTGCCCGACCGACGACTAGACTCCTCGTCACCGACGTGCCTCTTCTGCCTGTCTTGGCCGATCCTGGCCGATCCCGCGAGCGTCGCGCATATCGCCAGCAGCGTCAGGGTCAGCAGCAGCCTCCGCGCGAGCGTAGGACGCGTCATCTGAAAATGGCAAGAGCACCGCGATAGAAAGTATCGCCCCGAAAGAATGACATCTGACGCTTTCATCATGCGCGCGTCACGAAGCAGAAGGTATTTCTCGCGCGTTACGCCCACGCAAGAGCGGGAAAGTGTAACCTCCTGCGCGCCGTGCCGGGACGCGCGGGCTCGGCCGCGGCTAATTGAATCGCGCGCGGTGCTCTATGCTTCACGCTTCGTCAAGTGACTCCTGCGTTTAATAGGCCAGTAGGAGACGACCGTTGCGCAGCGCGTGTAAAACCGTTTGTTGCTCGCTACGACGACGGAATTACATTCATGGCGCGGCGGCGGCGGCTCAAAGACACGGCGCGCGCGCGCGCGAGCTTCTTCAGCGCGTATGTCAAGGATTGTATTGCGCAAGCGGGGCACCAATTTAACCCTTTAACGCCTACTGGCAACTATAGTTACCAGAAACGCATTTAAGAATCCATAACTTAGTCAAGAAAGGAGATATTTTCGTTTTTTTTTTGCACCACCATAAAGATGAATTCTTCTAATAAATGGTATATAGATTGTATGTAGATTCGGTTTAGTCTGTTTTTAGCTCAGTTTTAATGATAATATGTTTTGTTCAAATTCCAAGTAGGCATAGGTAGCATTGTTACGGACATCTAGAAGTGCACTATAAATGAATAGATATCTGTTATGATTTTATACATTTGGCAGCTTTCTCAGATGCAAAATGTGGAATTAAAAGAATACAGAAATTCAAAATGGCGAATCCACCAATATGATTGACACGAAAATCAAGAAATCAAGCTATTTTCGTGAAACTTGGTTACCTACAGTTTTTTATGCGGCGAAAAATGAAGGGACGATTGACTATCTAAATGGTGATCTATAAGATATTCTACTGAAATGGTAAGCTTGACGCTCTGAATGATAAACTTCACTCACAATCATAGTAAAGTTTCAGCTCAAAAATGTCAAGCTGATTATCAGAGCTGACTATCAGAGTTATATCGTATAGATTATCCTTCATTTTTCTCTGTATAGGTTGCTCATTTCGTATATGCTTTTAGGATCCAAGTCATATTTACCAATAAACAAAAAACGAACGATAAAAAAAACCAATATAAAATTCTGATATTTTTTTTCGTTATCACTACTTATAGTCTCAGTTCAAAAGAACTCAAATTTTACTCTGAAAACACTTATAAAAAAGTCGAGCGTTAAAGGGTCAAGTCATGGCGCGAGGCGTGTGTTTATGCGCATTCTTCCGGCCGGCTCGCGATTTCAGCCTCGCGGCAGACAGCCGAGCGCCACCACCGTCGGCGTCTTCCTCCATCCCCGTGTTGTTGCAGCCGACCGGCAAACTGCGTCGGCGATGGCGGCGGAGGCGAGCGGACGCCTCTCTCTCTCTCTCTCTCTCTCTCTCTCTCTCTCTCTCTCTCTCTCTCTCTCTCTCTCTCTCTCTCTCTCTCTCTCTCTCTCTCTCTCTCTCTCTCTCTCTCTCTCTCTCTCTCTCTCTCTCTCTCTCTCTCTCTCTCTCTCTCTCTCTCTCTCTCCCCCTCTCTCTCTCTCTCTCTCTCCCCCTCTCCCCCCCCTCTCTCTCTCTCTCTCTCTCTCTCTCTCTGAAACTGATTTCGGTGCGCTACGCGCGATTCGGATCACCTCCCACGACTTTGTCCGCGAATTTCCGAGAGAGCTTCGAAAGTTCATTCTACCGCCGTCGTCACCGCCGCCGCCGCCGCGGCGGCGGCGGATTGCAATGATACGAGAAGGCGATATCGCGAGGGGGCTGCCACGCCTTTCCCTGGCCTGGCGAACAAGCCGGTGAACGGTCGACAAACATTCACGGGTCACCGGCGAGTACCGGTCGACTCGTAATGATTCGCGACTGAATAACGAAGCGGCGCGAACGGTTTCTGAAGACTGTAGATAGGTAGGTAGGTAGGTAGGTAGGTAGGTAGGTAGGTAGGTAGATAGATAAGTAGGTAGGTAGGTTGATGGTTGGTCGGTCGATTCGCTGGTCGATTTTTGTGTGAACACGCTCGCGATGCGTTAGCGTCGCACATTCGCTCGCATTGCTGCAAGTGGCAGTGCAAGTTTGCGGAAGTCACGCCAGCACGAGCAACACACGATAGCGCGCTTCCGACACACTCGCGGACGTCGCACTTTGCCTATCTCCGTATTTTTCTGCGGTAAAGGCTGGAAAAATCCGCGGCTTCCTTTCGCTCGTTCGTCCGCGAGACCCGACGATGCGTTCCGCATCGTTCCAATGCGTTCGGTCGATCGCTCGCGAGAGCCTCGTCCATCTCGACGTAAATGCAGAAAAAAGAAAAACGTTACATAAACGACGTTACGCGGAAGAAAGTAATGCAGTCGCAACGAAGATCGCGCCAGCTCGTATAATCGCTCGTAACCGCTACAACGTCCTGGAATAACAGCAGAGAGAGGGAGAAAAAGAGAGAACTTTTCACCAGGTCCACTTGAGCGACGCCGCATCGCACGTGAATTCTGAATCCAGCTTGATCCATTCGCATCAGCAGCGGATGCACAGAGTGAGGCGGCAATGACTATCAAACACCTCGAGTATCTCGCCATCGGGATTTCTTCCGGTGAAATAAGAACCGCAGAGAAGGATTACCGCATTTGTTTTTGTCGAATGAATTTCTCCACGCGGAGAAAAGTATCGTTCTACTGTTAGGAAGAAGAGAGCGAATACTCGGTTTACTTCCTTTCCGTTATCTTCTTCGTGGTTATATCTTCGGCAAAGAATATTTTCTTCTATGATATGATAGTCTCGTATAATTTGCGTGCGCAACAGATTTAGGGAGAAAAGCTCAGTTTTTCCAGATATCCAATAGAGAGGAATTTCTTCTCTTTTGAAGAATATAGCAATAAGACACTCCGAATGTTCGTTTGAATTGAATCTTCTCGACCGAAGCTTCTAAGACCCAGAATGTGTCTCGAGGGGAATTGGATGCTTGTGATGACCTCGCGACAGATTCGCGAGTGCATGAGCTCGAGAAAAGTACTCGGAGCAAGTGACATTTGCTCGAATGCATTTTTCCGTCTATTGCTCTCGCGGATCTCCAAGATATCCAAAGCGAGACTCGTAATCACCGCCTCACCGCCTGCGCAATCCGTTCGTTTCGCCCGACGATAATCGCGAGATCACACAAAAGCCGCATTTTCCACACTCGAAGTCGTTCCGTTTCCGGGGACAAGACGACAAGACGACCCCGGGAGGATCCGAGGATGAAGTCGCATGAGCCCCAGCTCCTAATGACACGAACGAGCTAACAAATGCGGAATCAAGCTGTACCTTTCTCCGCGCATCCGGAACGGAAGGACAAGCGTTTACCGCCGGGAACGCCGGTATATGTCGCTGAATTGCTGTCATTAAAGCGCTACCGCGTGCAACGGCTCTTCCGCTTCTTCCGCTTCTTCAGCAGGCAAGCTGACCAGTCGCGGGATAACACCGACGTGAGCGAGCGAGGGGATCGCCGCGTACGTGAGCGCGCTCGATTTCTCCGCGTCAAACGGCTATTTAATTATCTGCGACGCGGACCCCTACGTGACAGGACGGGCCGTGTTTATTCGCGATACCGAGATCTCTCAATGAGACACGCAACGCACGATCGCACACCGCAGCTACGTGGTCCCCCAGCGGTCTCAGCGTGTCCTTAACATTCCCATGGGCGAGACACCGTCATAAACGAGACCCATCGCGAACGTGGCTCGCAGCTGCTCGAGCGCTCTCCCCCGGCCGGGCCAGCGGCGATTTTCATGCTCCCACCGACTCAGGCCGCAGTCATCCTCGCGGATGAGAACGCTCGACGAGCACGGAAATGACGTCCTGAGCTCCCCCAGGTCGCTCGGTAGGCGGAGAGTCCTCGCGAGATCGCTGCCGTCGCACTTTCGACCAGCCGGACCCGGCATCGACACCTCCGTCATGCGCTTACTCTGCTCGGCCTACGACTTTGCATCGACTCGCTGCAGACGACATTTAAGCCGGCACGACGCCCACGCCACGCGATCAGACGCAATTAGCGGGCCGCCTTATCGAAGAGCGCGCGCTCCGTGCATTCTGCGAACAATACCGACTCTCCCGATTGTCTCCGACTTGGGCTTGCGCGCACCGCGCAGATAAGTCACGTAGGTCACGGGATCGCTCTTTTTTTCTGTCTTTCTCTCTCTCTCTCTCTCTCTCTCTCTCTCTCGCGGGAGTTCGCGCGTCGTCGATGAAGCACTTGCCGATGAAGAGGTTTGCGTCCCGGCGCAGCTATGCGTTTTCGCGATTTCGATCGGCGAGCTGGACGCACGGGCCTCGACAGGATCGCGGCGCGACCGCTCGAACCGGCATGGTACACGTGACTGGCGGGATTTTCGTCACCCTCTCTCGGCTCGCGCTGCACCGGGTCCGCCAAGGACGCTCGCTGGTCGGGGAAGGTGGAGCCGTTTCCAGGCGGCCGCTACGACGCCGCCGCCGCGGCCTCGCGCTCGCGCTGGAAAGGAGGAAGTCGCGCGGCGTCCGCGGTCTACGATTCGTACGATTAACGATCGTAATTAGATCGGCGCTCCGTGCGGCCCGCGCCGGACTGATTACCGAGGATGTTTTACGCGCGACTGTCTTCTCGCGCTCGCTCGCGAAAGACACGTAACTCGGAAAATGCGCGTGTAACAGCGTAACGCGCGCGCGCCGGTCCTTTCACTTCCAGCCGGTGTATCGCGTTCGATTTGTTCGCTCCGCTTTTTTTCTCCTCCTCTTTCTTCGTCGCCGCCGCCGCCGTCAGCGGCGGCGGCGGCGGCGGCGGGCCGATCGTCACGTGACACTCGGCGAAAGAATCGCGTGCGTTTCTGCATGCGGCCGTCGCGCGGTTGGCCAATCGTCCGGTAACAAAAGCTTTTTGCGCGGCCGCTCGTAAATCACGCCGATCGCGCTTTTCGCTCTCGGCGATCACAGCGATCTCTTCCCGTCTGCGCAATTCCGGTGATCCCCCCCCCCCCCTCTCGGTCGGGCAGTTCGCGCTCGTCGGGACCGCGGGATCGTGAAAACCGGCGGAATGGATAGATCCGACGAAGAGAACTCGAGGTTCGTCGCTCGAGTTGGCGGAGCTCTCGCGCTCTCGCTGGGCGCGTAATCGTCCAGGCGCGCACCACGTCCCTACGTCCTTACGTACCGCGCGGTTAGCGCGCGTAATAATGCGCGTATAATAGCGCAGAAGAGACGTTGCAAAACACACAGCGGCTGTACGTCGCCAAGGTGGAGGCGGTCCCTCCCGCGGTTCCGCAACACGAAAGTCGAAGGATTTTTCGAGGCGCGGTGATGCAAGAGAGCCGCCGTGGCCGCCGAGCGCGGCGAGTGCCGTTATGTTTGCCTGGAGCGAGCGCGAGCGCCGGGTTCGCTCCGATAAGTCCCGCGTATCCGCGGGGACCAGATTTCGCGCGAGCGGAGCGGCCATGGTGAGACCGGCGGCGGGACCGTTTCGATCTCGCTCGCTCTCGCGCCGGCGAATCGGAAAAAAGCTCGGGGAACTAGTTCTCCGGATCGGATCTCGTGACGCAATCGCGATTACGACTCTCACGCGAGCGCCCCGGCTGGAAAAGAGTCGTGGAAAAGAGTCACTTTCTTCCTTCACTGCTGCTTCCGTGCCTGCTGCGTCTTGCGTCCCGCCGCACAGTGGGGGCCAGATGACATTCTTTGGTTCCAAAATCTCTAGAGACCTGAATTTCCGAAGAACCGATCAATGGATGAGATTGATCCTGAATAAATTCCGAAGAGATCTGTCTTGCCAAAATTAAAGAAACATTTTTTTTTCTCGAATTACTAGCCCCAAGAGAGGAAAAATTATCGTTAAACGCGAGAAACTTGTGAAATACTCATTATTCGACGCTTATTTCTATCTAACAGCGTATTCAGCGGATTAAAACTATGAAACCAATCAACAGACACCTCGAGATTTATCGATCTTGAACCAGAAACCCATTAACCCAAAACTCACATGCGCAAAATACAAAAACATCAAATATAGACCCGTTAAGCAACCGAGGGATTTTGAGTCTTAACTATCCATCAACCTAGGAATCTATCAATCCGAGAACTTTTTAGCTGAGTTGATGAGCTTTGGAATTCTGAGTTTTCTAACAGGTGATTATAAGTTCTGGAGTCTCGCATTTAGTACCCATAGACTCGAACCCACCTGAGGACACCGAACCCAAGACACTGTACTTCAAACGATAAACTTTTAAGACAAATCCTAAACCCATGAACTCTGAACCGATAATTTTTTCAAAATTTCGGCTAGACAGATCTCTTTGGAATTTATTCAGGATCAACCTCATCCATTGGTATCGATGATCGATTGGAAATTCAGGTCTCTAGAGAATTTTGAAGCAAAAAATGTCATCTGGTCCCACTGTGCGCCGGCTCCTTGCCGGCGCGTCCGCTCCGACTCCCGGCGGTATCGTGCGAACGATCGACTGCGATTTTCCGATCTTATTAACACCCCGCGTCCTACGGCCGCCGCCGACCTTGGGCCTCGGCTCGGCGGGCCGTCAAAGGCGTCCCACGCTCGGCGATCGAACGGCATTGAGCCATCGCACGCAGTTCCGTTTGCGACGAGCGGAAGGTCACCAGCGAGATCTCTGCGAAACGGCCGTCGGACGTCGCTCGTACTCGTTGCGGAACCATCGGTATCAATCTGGAGGAACGTCGCATGCAGCCAGCCAGCTAGCGCGTTTTTCCTCCTTCTCTCACCTATTTCTTTCTTGCTTCTCTCTTTTCCGTCGCAGGCGTATAATCGGCTGGAAAATATCGACGACCTCTGATCGTCGACGTCGCACGCTCGCTCGCCGACGAGAAAATACCACAACGCGCGCAACGTCGGCCGCCTCACCGGCAGGGCGTACGTAAGACTCGCGCGGATCTACCGTTATTCAATCGGGTTTACGCTTTCGACTACTTTCCTTTTTGTTTCGCGTTGTGCTCGCTGAGCAGCATTAATTCCCCCGACGCGAGTGACTTTCGGCGCGTCGCTAGGATCTCTCATACATGCGCGCAGGAAGAAACTCTGAGGGGGGGAGAGGGGGGCGGTCAACACACCGGTCGCTCGCGCAACCGGTCGTCGTGGGGGCACACCTTTGCTCGCAGGAAATCGATAATTGCCTCTAAACGGTATCCTGCGCGCGACACGCCCGATAACGAGCTCTTCTTTACTCTTCTAATAATCGCACCTCCGCTGGCTAACGACTCGTAGCCGCTTCATTCTCAGCGTCGGCTCGCGTCGCTGCGCGACGAATTCATTTCAAGCCCGCGATTTTCGTCGCGTCTCTTTCTCTCTCATTTTTCTTTTTTTTTTTTTCTTTTTTCTGCGAACCAGCGCGTTTGCGTAAACGCGATAAAACGGGAGAAAGCTGGAAAGCGCGGAGTGCGAAGAGCTGCGTCGCAGGTGCAAAGGCGACGACCAACCACCACCTCGTCGTCCGTGCCAAGACGGCGCTACCTAGATGCTACCCGACACGGCTGTGCGTCGTACATTCTTCGTCGCGAATACTCGCGAATCGAATTACCGTAAACCGTCCGTTTGCTTCGCTCTTCGCACGCTCGTCATTGACCGATCGTTTTGCCACTCGCACGGTTGAGCCTCGATCCACGACGCTATGCTTTTAGCCTTTTGCTCCAAGGGCAACACGGTGACTCGATTCCCGGCGTCTCCCGTTGCTGCCTGAAGTCGTGATTCCTTGAGTCTCAAGTTCGCTCGTCGGATTCCAGCTGTTGAGGCAGCATAGAAATTGTTTTTCGCCAGCAGCAACCGTAGGACTCTGGCCAGTGTATTTATAGTCGCATCGTTATATTCAAGAGCGTCCCATCATCAAATCGTCATCATCGTCGGACGTCCCGGTAGCCCACTAAGCGACTCGAGGCTCACAAGCCTCCGAAGGCGAACTCGAGCCGGTCTTTAATACAAAGATCCGATTATGAATCGGGAGATTCACGGTCGAATCTTGCATTTATTTCAAGGCGCGCGATTTTGTCCTTCCTTTCCCTTTCGAAGGCATAATTGACCGGAAAATTCACCGATGGTCATTGTCGACCGGAGCCAACTCGCGAGGTCCGAACGGCGATTCGTCGCGCATCGTCACCGTTCCCGGTGAATCCCCCGGCGCTCGGTGGCGCCGAGAAGAAGAAATCGACGACGAGAGATCGGCGTCTCTCAGAGCGACAGGGACGGAGTGGAACACCTTGGCATTGACCGGCTTGCTCCGCCGCGGCGGCGACGGCGGCTCGTGCGCGCCTCTTGCATAATCCGCTCGTCTCGTTCATCCCGAGCACCTCTCTCTGGCCGTGCGGGTTACCGCATCAACTGCATCTCCTCGTCGCGATGCGCGCCGAGTAATTGCTCGCTCGCGCATCCGCCGAGAGACGGTTATAACGGTGCGTGCGGCCGCGCGACTGTTGCTGTTTCTCTCTCCTGCGGACGCGCGGAGCTGCCGAGTCCCGCCGCGGCCGCCTGATTCAAGTCCGTTTCCGCTTCCGACGGGAAGCGCGTTCGAAGTTGGGTCGCGAAAGGGAAATTATTCGATCGCCGACTGGCTATCGAAGATCCTGGCGACGGTGCGATTTCGTAATGTTCTCGGGCATACTTTTTCTCGTGGGTCACATGGGACGGCATAATTCCGCCGTTTCGTCTGATTATCTGGTGAATTATCTTCGTGGTTTAATCGGTACTTTAGGTGGTTTAAGCGGGAGAGAGAGAGAGAGAGAGAGAGAGAGAGACAGAGTTACATCGTCGTAATGTCCAATACGAAATTTACATGGCGTCGATAATCCTTTGATACGAGCCTCTGGTAAATCTCACGGTGCGCCTTGCGCGAGAGTGCTGAACTATACGAGGTAATTCATGGCGAATATGCGAGTTAATACCGGTTTATGTTTTTGCGACGGCGACGCGGCCGTAAAGCCTGCGCGCGCGCCTGTCAGGCAAGGTTAAC